GTCTACATCTGTAGGGAGCCTCAAATTTCTCTCTCTCTCTCTCTCTCTCTCTCTCTATATATATATATATATATATATATATCTATCTCAGAGGGATTCCCTGCAGAGAAGCCACTGAGGCTGCTTACACTCTAATCAAATGGGCCCTGAGGAGGGGTTTCTATAAGATCATAAAGAGGAGGACAAAGGTGGAAATCCATTCAGAGTCTTTGGGAAAAGATAGCTCTCTCTTTCATTCCTTCAGCAATAGTGATGAATAACCTTGGAGACTTCCAGAAAGGTTTTGTCCTGTGTAAGTAGAAGACCAGAGCCCTGTGTACATTAAGTGAGTGGGGCTTCCTGTCCTCCAAGCTATCAACATTCACAGATAGATGTAGAGGAAGCAGAAGGTTCAAGGTTCAAATAGCAGGCTCAGGTTCAGCTTTATAAGTGGGGACAGGTTTACATTCTGACGGTCACGGTACTGGGATGGGTGAAAACAGTGCAGTTCTTCACCGGAGAATGTAAGGCATTAATAGCTGCCAGATGTACTGTTAGGGAACTCATAAACAGGTCAGATGTCTTCAATGAGAGAAGATATTCCAGAATTAGAGGGATTCCCGATTTCTCAGGAGTTAAGTGGTGCTGCTGACACCACAGGGAGAATCGCTTCCAACTGGTGGCATAGCACTTCCTTGTAGAGAATGGATCCTATAACAGCCTATAACCAGTTTTTCCCTATGTTCCTTGGCCATCTAAAAACCACACTGTCAGAAAGAGGAAAGCTGGACTGGGGTGGCTGGTCTTGCCCTCGTTCTGAGACAGTAGGTTCGGAAATGGCTGAAGGTGAATGCATGGGTGAGAGGCCAACTGTAGGATAGTGGTGAATCAGAATAGTCTCCACTACCAGTAAGTTATCAGGATCACTGCTGCCTTGTCCGGCTTGATCATTCTGAGGATGCAAGGTAGCAAAGGTATGGGAGGGAAGGAATACATCAGCGGGTCCAACCACTGCACCAGGAAGACATCCCCTCTGGGGCTGATTGAGTAGCTCAGGAACAATATAGTGGCTACTTTTTGTTCTGCCTGATAATTCGCTATGGGGAATAAGAGGTCAGCCAAGGAGAAATTCTTCTTGTCAGAAAGTTTCAGTCTCGTGTCTTTGTCCAGAGAGGATAACTCTGCTCTCTTACGCCTGGACCACTAATTTGGGAGTTGGGATTAGGGTTGGAAAAACAAATATTCTGCTCCCTTGGAGTGAACAAAGTATTTTTTCTCAGTCCTCTGAGCCATATGCAAAAATTTTCTTAGTGGGCTCCGTAGGACCTCATTGTTGGGAAGCTTAGAGGGAGCTGTAGCCTGGACGATGTCCAGGAGTTGGTGGGTAGGTTCCTGAACCTCCTCCAGCAAGATCTGAAGAACCAGCAATCCTCCTTAGGAGGTCCAGGTACTGCTTGTAATCATCTGGAGGTAAGGGAGATGCTGGTATCAGTACTTCATCTGGGGAGAGCAAGAAGTGCTGCTGGTGGATCTGGCAGTTCAGATTGCTCCTAATCAGTCAAAGGTTCCTGCAAGAACTGTGGCTCCTCTCTGGTGCCTGAAAATATGGATCTTAGCGGCCCCGATACAGCCAGTGGCCAAAATTATAGGAATATGGAGGTGGGTACCATTGGTCCATTGACCAATAGTGTGACTTGCCATGAGACAAAGACATCCAGGTAACTCTGGAAGCTCTGGCCAGGCCGATGGTTCTTTGCCAGTTTGCTGTTGATACCTGATTACTTTTGGCTGATGAACAGGAGTCATCAGGCTCAAATGCTGGGGCTGAGAGCACCACATGACCCGACTTCAATGCACTCAGGACAGAAGCTCATAAGTGGTGCCCCAACCGTGCTAGGGCATCCACCTGACGGTTCGAGCTCAGGACCAACGAACGTCGTATTGATGGAGTTGGGATGTTTCTCAGAAGAATCAGATGTGAGAAGATTGGAGTTTCTGGATCAGGGCTGCTCCAGTGTTTTTGCCGCCCCAAGCGGCAAAAAAAGCCGCAATTGGCGCCACTTCATTCTGAGGGACCCGCCGCCGGATTGCCACCGAAAAGTCGGACATGCCGCCTCTTTCCATTGGCCGCCCCAAGCACCTGCTTGCTGTGCTGGTGCCTGGAGCCGGCCCTGTTCTGGATCTATATAAATTTCTAGATGCTCAAGAAGTGTATCAAATTCTCATTGGAGGAGAACTAGTAGGTGTCTTAGGTTTAAACGAGACCTGCCCGTGCCATCTTGGAAGCGGTGGACTTGCTGGATTGGTACTGCTCATGTAGATGAAGAACAATCCCCTCCATGTCTGCTTAGTGCTGGAGTTGAACTTCACACCTCTGAGAGTGCAATTTCGAGGTATTAATTGCTCCTGGCACCATAGGTAGTGGCCTTTCTTGTTTGTGAGCTCCAGATGCACCTGATCCAAGGCACGGAATCCCATGTGGTGTCAGAGGTAGATAGACCTCTTTTTTGAGCATTTGTAGGGTGATTTATTCCTCTTTTTATGCAGGTGTTTACCCTTTCCTTCCTCATGCCTTCGTTGGGCCTGGAGGAATCTGAGCATAGTGAGGTACCTGCACGTGGGTGGTGGTGGGGTGAAAACCCCAAGTTTATCTAAAACAACTGAAGCTAGTAACTATTAGAAACTTTGTAAAAACTAGAAGAGAAATAAAACTTGTAAACTACTGTAAAAACTGTTTAAAAACTATGTACAACTATTGTTTCTAGACATGCATCTGAGGCAAGGACAGAGAGTTCTGATGTGGACCATGGGGCAATGAGAAAAAACTGAAGATGCAGTCAGTCCGCCTTGTCCTTTATCACCTCAGATGGAAGCATGAGGCAAGCCAGAGTGCATGCACGGACCAACAGATACTACTTTCAAATTCTCCAACTCCAGACGCATGGCATAAATGCGTAACCCCTCAATGGAATATAATTGGAGAGAATCATTTGAAGAACCACCAATGGATCCTGGAGCTGGAGGGATGCTGCCTGGAGGCTCAGGTTGGCTAAACGGGGAGTGTGAGGGCCCCGGGGCCAAATGGGGCTTCATGGATATCTCCATAAGGGGTCTCCAGAGTCTGAACTTCCGAGACTGCCTGGTGTGTGTGTGGGGAAAAAACACAACAGATACCACACCTCAAGGGGATGTGCACTTCCCTGAGGCAGTACAGGCAGCTCTTGTGCAGGTCACTCACTGGGAAGACCTGTAGGCAGGCCAGGCAGGGTTTGAAGCCTGGAACTTTGGGCATGATAGGTACCCCAAATTGTGTGGGAACAAAGCGAAGAGATATCCTGATCCCCGAACTAACTAATCTATCTAAATATAAAAACTACAATTATTTACAGGTCTGAAAATCAACCAGGAATGCTGGAAAGAGGACAGACATAGGAGGTTCTGTTCCAGAGCACAAGTGGTAGAAAGAAACTGGACAGACAGCTGGCCCATGCTGCACTGTATGCACTTGGTTGGGAGCATGAGGAGATGCAGATCAACAGACACTGCTATTGAAGAATTTCTGGTCCTGGGCACATAGAGCACATGTGCACCCACGGGGGCCAGCTCTTAAAAAACTGATGGTAATTTGGTGCAGTACAGTATAACTCTGTACTAGGTACAAGGACGTGTTCTTAGGGCACTGGAGTCATACAAAAAAAAAATGCAAGAGATACAGTGGGTTCTATAGCCGTGGACGGATTTCTCTGTACTTGTTTCATTTTGGGGGGCCTTGGACACAAATAGTTTTTAAAAATAATTATAGCTATGACTAGGTGAAAATTTTTTTTTGCTTTTTTTGAAAATCCATTAAAAATTTGTTCTGTTGCCAGTGGGGACAGTACTTTGTTTTATTTATTTTTTTCATACATATATAAACAAATATTTTGTACTGTGCAAATTCCAGTTATTGATACTCAAACTCCTCCCACATTTGAACTAGCAGAAAAGCACAAACCTCTTAGTAACATTAACAGCACTGCTTTCACCACATATTAAACAAATAAACAAATTTAACTTAGATTTATTGTTCTCAACAAGGAGCTTAGATATGCAGTTTCAGAAGCCACATAAAATTTGTAACAGCAGTGCCTTTGAAGCCGAAACAGTAATGTTACCTCTGCAGTAAACCTAATGAACGTATTTTGCGTCTTATACGTTCCTTTGCCAGACAGCATGCCGCCCAGAATTCAACCACACAGGGCACCCTTTCACTGACAGCAAATGTTCAGATCCCATCTTGTTTAGATTTTCTAGACACTTTTGAAAGTAGTGCATTAGAGTGTTCTCCATAACATTTTTCACATTTCTTAGCAATACGCGAGATCAAGCAACCTCTTCATCAAATCCTAACCACGTAAATGTGAGCTGCAGTTCTGATGGACATACCTCTATGCTTTGGCAAAAGTTTCAGCTACACAGAAAAGACAGAACATTAGAGACAGTCAAAACTGTTTTATGAAGAAACATTCTGCCAAAGAACTCACAAGAAGTCTCACACTCTGAGGCCCCAATTCAGAACAGTACTCAAACATGTACTGAAGTACTCTCCTGAATCAGGGCCTATGGTGGTTGTGCTGCATTATGCATTAAACAGATAGACTGCTGCACCCTTACAGAGCCCCAGAGGTTGTTGGGGCTTTGTGCAGATGATGTACAATGCAGGCTCAGGGCCTACGACAAGACAGTCCATCAGAATTAACCTCCAAGTACATAGAATACCAGTGTCTTTCTAGACAAAGAGGTCCAAAGTCACTTTATTCAACAATTTGAATATAGACAATAGCCCAATATTTCTGATTACTTACATACTCTGTGCGATGCCACTTGCTAACAAAAGACAGGAAATTATAAACTAAGATTTTGGGAAGGAACTCCAGCAATAAAAAATGACAGCTTGATTCTACTGAGATACTTTGGGAAAAGCTATTTCTAGTGATCCAAAGTAACTGTACAAATACCATGATTATTCAGTTTCATAAAAACTAAAATGTTTTTAAATCTTAACACAACTTTAAATTAGGTTTTTCTAAAAATTAAGGGTTTAATTTATTGTTACGGTTATATAAAAATGACTAATTTTCTAAAATTAAAGTCCTATTTTATTTAACCATATGCCTACAATTAAGCATGTGAATAGTCTAATTCAGAATAATGGTGCTACTCACACAGCTCGCTGCTTTGCTGGATTGGGGACTTAGTGAATGAAGAGTATTTAAGGAAAACTCCAAAGTAAATATATACCAATGTATCTCTGCCAACTTGAAATCCAGTCAATTAAAAAAAGAAGCAGTTTCTGATATTATATGTAATGCTGAGTTTCCCTACCAACTGTGTGCATTTAAAAATCACACTATCCTGGTTTTTTTTTTAAGTTTCAGACTTCAGAGGAGAGAGGAAGAAATACAAACAGGAAAATACTTATTCTACATGGGATAAAATGTGACTGATTATTCACGAAGTGCTGTCAAATGCACAAAACAAAATGGAAAAAACAAGTGTTTTGCCTCTAATTTGTAGGCAGTCATTTTAGGTGTTTTTTATGAAAAACGTCAGACAGAAGCGTGATTTTTAAATTCACCGTGATTTTTTTAGGATGAATTTTTGATCCATCTAATCTAGGGCTTCTCAGTGTAATTGGCCATATAATGGATGATTTCTTGAGATATGACATTTGGTCATGGACCATCTTCTCTCCCAAACACAAAGATATCAGACAAAGGGAGACATGAAGCAGTTACAGCGTTTGCAAAGAGTTGCTTGATTTTTTTTCTCCTCTTTTAAGTTTAGTTGATCAAAAATGTTTATTGGAGCCAAAATCTATGTCATCACTGCAGAAAAATGTGTTTTTACAGTGAGATAGCGAACTTGAGCTTTTACCTCAATGAAGCTAGTTGCAGTCAACACGATGTCCCTCCTCTACTTGGGGTAGATCTCAACTAGCAACACTGAGGTAAAACTACAGTGCCTTGTCCCCACTAGGATTTTAAAATGAGATAACGAACTTCATTTAGCTATCTTGCTGTAAAACACACACCGTTTATGGCAGTGAAGACATATAGCCCATAAAGTCCTGGGCTGGCCAACACCAGCATCCCTGCTTGAAGTCTGGAGTTTAGTCCATTCCCTGCCACCTGGCCGGAAAGCTGTGGGTCAGTAAAATGGTACCAGACACCAAGTACAGGTCTACACTACCAGCTCTTGTAATCTGTCCTAGTCGTGGAATATTCGGATGAAAAAAATTCCCTTTAGTATCAGTTTTAAGCTTGCCAACTTCAGAGCACAACTGCCTCCAGAACTTACAAAAAATACAAAAGTGTTATTTTTTAATGTTTTTTATTCCCCATTATTTTCTAAAACCAGAAAAAGTTGATTTATGTTCCTGCCTGATTGATCTGGTTGGTGTTTAAAAAAAAAAAAAGAATCAATGCGGTTTTATTTTAAATGTACACATTAGTGTTCTGTTTTCTGAAAGAACAAACAATGTGGAGAAAATAAAAATCTTTTAGTTGCTAAAAACAAAGTTTAGAAAATGATATTTCTATAGTTTTATTTGCCTAGCTTATCTTTAAAAATACAAGAAAAGTTCTGAGAGATACTACTTCCATCTACCTCAGTGTTTCTATTAACATTTAAAATGTTTATTTACAAAACACACCTATTGGCTCTAGGCATACACATATTAACCACACAAATTAGGACAGACAGACAGAGCCAGCTAAAATGAACTTTGAGAAATATGGAAAAACAAAAGCACATGATTGAGCAAATGGTGAAGTTTGCCATGTGTCTCTCACATCTCCTTCTAAAAAATAATTTCTCGGCCCTTTTGTTAATTCTCACTCCAAAGTGGGTGAGGAACAGGAGTTAATAGGTCTGGTGGAAGAGGAGACAATTTGAGAGAGGTATATGAATTATAGCAAGGACCACAATGGGGAGGTGTGGTGGCCTGGGAGAGAACTCCATTTATACAGTACCACAGCGAAAGTGGCACAGATGAGAATGGGGAGAGACAGGGAGGAGATAGAGAAGAGAGACAGGCAGGAGCTAGGATTGTGCAGGGCTTTTTAAAACAAGGATGAGGATCTTCCATCTGAGGAGAGATTAATAAGATTAGGACTTTTCAGGTTGGAAAAGAGATGGCTAAGAGGAGAGATGATCGAGGTCTATAAAATCATGGCTGGTGTGGAGAAAGTATTTACTCCTTCACGTAACACCATAACAACTAGAGATCACCAAATGAAATTAATAGGCAGCAGGTTTAAAACAAACAAAAGGAAGTATTTCTTCACACAACGCACAATCAACCCACGGAACTCTTTGCCAGAGGATGTTGTGAAGGCCAAGACTATAACAGGATTCAAAGAAGAACTAAATTCATGGAGGATAGCTCCATCAATAGCTATTAGGCAAGATGGTCAGGTGACCCTAGCTTCTGTTTGCCAGAAATTGGGAATGGGCGACGGGGATAGATCACTTGATGATTACCTGTTCTGTTCATTCCCTCTGGGGCACCTGGCATTGGCCACTGTCGGAAGACAGGATACTGGGCTAGATGGACCTTTGGTTTGACCCAGTATGGCTGTTCTTATGTTCTTATCTTAAACAGGTATGTAAGACTATTAGTGGAGGAGGGCATGCTGTTTAGGGCTGCAATGATATCAATGATGACACACAGCTCTACCTTTTTCACAGAACCTTGGCGGTATCGAGTCTTTACTTGCCCAGAGTCTGGTCATATATAGGGTTTAGATGACAGCTGGCTGAAGTTGACTTCCATTAAGATATTGGTGATAACGCCTGGGCTGGTGGTGGGGAGAAGCATCCAGAAATGATATGGTCAATAGCTCAACTGAGGGGATATGTTTACTCTTTGCTAATATTTGCAACTTTAGATATTTGTTAAGCACTCTGATGATGGTGATGAGTTGGTACAAGTCCCTACATAAATGCTTCATGTGCTTCTGGATTTCCAAGTAGCAGCAATAGCTGAGAGTGATTTCCTCTATCTTCACCCAAAAAGGAAGTTGCAACTTCTGCTTTCATATGCTCTGAATTTTTTGTTAGGACATATATAGGAGTTACGAGAAACTCAAGTCCCCCTACAAACAGACAGCCCTTTGCAGTACGCTTCACAAAGATTAGCAACTGATCAATACCACCCCTCTCAAATCCCTGACAGAAAAAAAACCCCCAGCCTCTGGTAGTATTTGCAGACTCAAACACTTCATGTTTAATCCCATCCAAGGCAGCGGACAGCTAAAAGAATTAACCAACAAAACCAGTGCAATCTCAGTACCATATTCAGATCTCAGAGCGGACTGAAAGGTGTCAAGGTTATCTAAGTGTTCAGGTAAAAGTCAAAGCCACCTTACCACAGAGTTCTCAGTATCCATTCCCAAAATGGAAATAGTTGATGAGTGGTCAGCATCAAGACATATTTTTACACAAGGGGTCACTTGAGAGATGATGGCTCCCTGACCTCCCAAGGGGAGACAGTGTCAGATTCCACCAAAAACAGATCAATGATCCCACTAATACAGGCAATGAATCCAACTTGGTCACCTTGAAGCACTCTCAAGGTCTCTTGAAGCTTTGTGTAAAAAAGCTGACACTTGGCTAGAGAACATATCATGTTTGTCCCCCAAACAAGAATCTACCATTGTGGAAGCAATTAATCCAGTCTAAAGATGATGGATTTTAATAAGCAAAACAGAGGAATGATTGACAAGAAGTAGTAGTCTACTGAAGAAGTATATTATTTCTGACTAAAGACAGCCCTGATTCACCAGGCTGTT